GCTACAAAACAGATTTCAGTACTTCAATAGGTTGGTATATTAACATTATATCAGTTAATGAAATTACGGTATTTAAAGGTAAATTTAAGTTAAAACCGTAAAACCTAAAATGTTGCTACCATATTTTTTACGGTAAAATTCTGGCAACCACAGCTGCTGGTTTTTTACTGTAAATTTTACAGAATTGGCAGACGGAGACAGACGTGCAGTCGTCATGAAACTGAAGCAGTGACAGATTGTGATGTTTATCTGAGTGTAACTGGTTATTGAAAAGAAAATATGTAGGCGGGGTTTGGCTCTGTGCATCAGTTAGTTGATTGGATGTTGAGAATGTGGGTGTGGCTCTCATAGGTGTATGCAAATAAGCGTGAGCTGCAGGGGCGGAGTTTGAGTAATACACCATTAGAAGATCTAGTTTTGAAATTCTGAGTAAACACTACAAACAATTAAAACATTTGCACTGATGAATATGTTTACAATAAGATCTATAACATGCATTTACAAAACAGAAATTTATATTCACTACTGCCAATCAAAAGCTTGGATCAATTACGTTGTTTTAATGTTTCTGAAAGAAGTATCTTCTGCTCAGCAAGGCTGCATTTATTTGATTAAAAATATGGTAAATATTATTGCAATGTAAAACAGCTGTTTTCTATGTGAATATCTGTTAAACTGTAATGTATTCCTGTGATGTGCAGCTGTATTTTCAGCATCATTACTCCAGTCTTCAGTGTCACATGATCTTCAGAAATCATTCTAATATGGTGATTTGCTGCTCAAGAAACATTTCTGATTAGTATCAATGTTGAAAACAGTTGTGCTGCGCAATATTTCTGTGGAAACTGTGATACATTTTATTTTTCAGGATTCACAGATGAATAGAAAGTTCAAAAGAACAGCATTTATTTTAAATAGAAATCTTTTGGAACATTATAAATGTCTTTACTGCCACTTTTGATCAATTTAATGCATCCTTGCTTAATAAAAGTCTTAGTTAAATTTATTTTTATTAATGTTAAACTGCAAAAACTTTTGACCAGTAGTGTAATTGCTATTGCTTATATGCTGTTAAATAATGAATGAATAAACACTTTTTGATGCACTTTATGGTTTGATTTGAGAAGACAGTAATTTGAGTGTCAATTTATACATTTTTGACTTTTAAAGTTGCATTGTGTTCAGTTTTATCCAAAGCAACTTACGTTGCATTAAAGTTATTATATGTTCTCATGCATTGCCTGGGAATTGAACCCCTGTCAGTCCAGTGCATACAGTATAAACAGTACATCAGAGTCTCTGATTAATGAGGAGTTTCTCTGACATATAATAATGCATTAAAGCTCATCCGCAGTGATCTGTGGTTTAAGTCACAGTAAATCACGGTCATGAAGTTGCGTCGCTGTTAAAACGCTTGCAGTGATGCTGCGGAGCTCAAATAAGCCTGTAAACTGATTGTGTTGAATGGAATAAGCTGTCTTCATTTCTTTGGGAAGCTGGTGTGTGGTTAATCCCGTCTGGATGTGGCGTTCCGGGCCGCTTGAGGAAAGAAAAGTCCTCAGAGAGTCAGATTTCATTAAAAACTCCCTGAACATGGTCTCGCGTCGCAGTCGAGAGTCGCTTGATGTTCATTCAGAGCTTTAATTCACGTGTAATTGTGTCTTTGTTTTCAGCGGTGACTATCGGTGGGCCGCCGCTTATTAAACTAATATTATTCGTAATAGAATAAAAAAGTTAATCCATGCATTCAAACCCAGTTTACGGTCTCATTATTGAATTAGTCCCATATATGAGTTATAAATGACTGTACTAGTGAAGATAAAGCACGTTTTGTATGAAGATCATCTCATGCCAGTTTGTTTTTCTTCTGACCTGAACATTTAAATCACTTCTATATTAACGGAGTCATTTGTCACTTTAAACAGATGACCTATTTCCGCTTGATTACACATTCATTTTCTCCTCGTTATTAATGTTTAATATTCTGACATGATGTCTCCAGTGTATTCCACTCATCTGACTACTAACTAGTTCCTGACCAGAGGACCAAACCATCACTATGGAATAGAATCTAAAATACAATCATTGTTGTGTTTGCACAGTTTCTTCAGCGTCATAATCACTTGTTTGCACAACTACCTGCCTGCCTGAACATGAATCATATTTCATCTAAATATCAAACTGATTAGCACACAGCTTCATATTCTTAAATCAAGAGCTCATAATAACATAGAAGTGGCTCAGTATGTGAATTAATTAAACATGAGTAGTTTAGAGGACTGTAATTGTTCTTTACAGGTGCAGTCAGTCATTAAAACATGAAAACATGAACAATGAAATTATATATATATATATATATATATATATATATA